AGGAAGTGTAATGGTTAGCAAGCTTGTCTCGCTAGAACAATTATGACTGAGTAGTGAGTTCGATCCTCACTGGGTGCCTCCTAATTTCGGCCTTGTGCCACATCTAAGCAATGCTTGGGAAATCACTATATGGCAACAGTATTCAATGCAATGACGAACGGTCGATTTCGCGATTTAAAGGATGGACTCAGGCGAGAAAAACCTTCTGCCGCGACACATAGAACCTACTATATATATATATATATATATGTGTGTGTGTGTATATATATATATATATATATATATATATATATATATATATATTTCAGAATAGCCTGACGTGAATTTACTGATTTCGCTACAGAGGAGCGTTTCGGTTAGCAAGGTCGATTTAACTGTTTATAAATCTCAATTTTCCAAGATCTTCTCACGTACATTCATATCTGCTCGATGCGTATCCAAATGCAAAAACAATGACGTCACACATTATGAAATGGACTAAGTCCGACAATCATTTTAAGACATTTTTATGTTTATGCATTCTTTTTATAGATAGAAAATATTTAAGTAAATGCTCTGTTTATAATAAACAGTATTAATAACATTTATCGGCCTGAATGTCCGAGAAATAGTCATACAATATATGCGTCCTCCGACAGGAATCGAACCTGTATCCTATACGGAACTGTTTTATGGCCGGACGTGCTTTTACCAATTTCGCCACAGTAAATCAGTAATATCAACCACGCTAACCGAAACGCTCCTCTATTATTTTATAACCCTTCTCTTTATGTCATAATTTTCGAATAAATAATTATATTTGCTCTACTCTGTATCGTCGTGGCTCTTGGGGCACTGTCCCGATGTTATCTGAATACTTGGATGAGTATCGCTGCGGAACTGAGTGAGTAGCGGCGCTGTATCGAGTCTAGTTTATGTCTTCTTCGTCACCGAGTCCCGTGGTACAGTTGGTATGACGTTTACGTTGTATCGAAACGGTCCGGGTTCGATTCTATGTAGTGGATGCGCACTGCTGATGAGTCCCATATAGGACGAAACGGCTGTCCATTGCTTTCTGTTGAGGATTCTTCTAGACTCATTGCTATAAGCCTAAAACTCCTAAATTAATTACATATATTTATATATATATATATATATATATATGCCAAAACATATATAAAGTTCGTGTATTTTGTTTATTAAAAAATACCTTTTTCTCACACCTAATTTACAGCTTCAGATATAAATTAATCATTTTGGAAAAGCGTATAGCGATATGTAAAATGATACTCCTAAAAAGCAGCGGCTAAAATCCGTACTACATTCGGGTCATGAACACTCTATATCGAGAATATTAAACATCGAAAAACATAAAGGAGAAAAAAAATGAATTAATTATTATAGATAGATGATCGGGAGTCCTTTAAAAAGGATTTTGGTGAAATAAATTATTGTAATGGTACCTTAAAGTGATCTGTTTTTCATTAAATATTAGCTCTGTATTCACATTGAGCTCTCAGGATTCCATCCTCCTTGGAATTACCCATTCGGTTTACCAAGTTCTTCATAACTTAAATATATATATATATATATATATATATATATATATATATATATTGTGTGTGAGTATTTAGGCAGCATTTTTTTTTAATGATGATAGACTGTGATTGTTTACATAGATCTGTCTTGTCCGTGTATTGCTTAATATATTGTAATGTAATTGTCATCTTTGATAATGGCTTATGTAAGCCGAAAGCTTAGATTGGATTAAAAAATAGGTATCAATATTGTGATTTTCTTTCTTCGTTTAATGATAATGTTATTAAGCTCATCAGACGTTATGAAAAGAATTTGCATTAAATAAATCGATAACACTTGTCTATATTATTTAATGAAACATGTATCAATATATATATATATATATATATATTTATATATATATAGTGTAACCCGGATATAAGAGAGTTGTCGGGACCGGAGAATAAGTCTCTTATATCCGGATTTCTCTTATATCCGAGTTTGGTCTATTTTATATACATTAACACAGGCTCTAATTTGGGACCAGAGAAAATCTCTCTTATATCCGGGTCTCTCTTATATCCGGGTCTCTCTTATATCCGGGTTACACTATATATATATATATATATATATGTATATAAAGTTTGACACACCGTCAGTTTTAAAGTAGTCATTTTGAATAAGCGTTTAGCAATATCCAAAATGCTATTCATAAAAAGCAGCGGTTAAAAGCCGTACTACAGTCGGGTGTATATCTAGCACTTTTGGGCAGCATCTCTTATATATAAACTCTTGATATGTTATTCAGCTTTCGACGTGACTTCTACCAACTGTTTATATATATTTATTTGTTTATTATGAAGGGATTTGCCTTTCTTATTACTTCCAAGGAATCCTATACTCCCAATGAGGGTTCCTGTTCCACTCAATTATTTGTTCTGTTCCTCTGGTAGTTTCGCTATAATGGCTGTGTTGCTCCGGTTAGCACGCATAGAGCCGGGTTCCACTATTCAGCTCTCTTAGCGTTTGATTCCCATCTTGGCAGCTTCGTTCAAATTTCATAGCGAAATGGCAAAGCACTCCTTCACGAAAGAACTCCGGAATCACTCCGGGTTCAAGGCTTGGCAATTATGCGTGTTACGGGAGGGGGGGAGAGCAGGGAATTCGCAGAATGGACTACACACTTGCGATGTACTTTCTAACAAGTTTATTATTTCGGCCTGTCGTGCTACTCAATGCATCTTCAAGATTTAAATAGGTTTCTTTGCTTCTACTGTAGTCATTTATTTATTTTATTTGCATTAGTTTGTGTTGATATCTTGTCCAAACATTTGGAAAAAGCTTCGGATAAGAAAAAAAGAGAATAAATCTGTCCATCTCAGTAAGGAAATGCATCTATTTGCGCGCTTCTTTGAGCGTAATTAATAAAATTAAAGAATCTTCACGTTTTTCTGAAGTAACATGCGTGCTTGCGGTTGAAGGCAACACTCCGAAAAGAAAAAAATCTGTATATGCTGACATGGTATAATAATAGAAATAGTGGTGTAGTGGTTTCGTTGCCTGTGAGCAGCGCCTGGCTGTGATGATTTTGTATTTTATACGTTGCTTGTAGTTATTTCAATGTAACGTGAAGAATAAATCGTCGTCGTCGAAATATCCAAACACATATGTATGGCGCCCAAGGAGTTTAACAGAAACAAAGAAAAATATGTAAATATGACATTCCACCTGTCTAAGAATGAAACATATTTTTTTTTATTTTCAACCGATTCAGAAAAAAAAAAACTGCATAAGAATTTACATAAAACTAATTTCAGAAAAAAAAAAAAAAAAAAAAACTATACGAAGTTTTTTGTTTGAGTCATTGGGAAAATAGAATTTACCTTAAGTTCAATAAAGACAAGCTGGGAGAATATATAAATAAATTTCGACAGAAAACAAGAAAATTGTAAGAAAAAAAAAGAAATATTAACAGCTTTTTTTTTTTTAAGCAAAACTCGTACAATTTCATTCTTTTTTCCCCCAGATAATTAGAAAAATGATCAATGATTTATTATTTAAGCATACACCGAAAATACACACATATTTATTTCCTCCCTTCTTTGATCTGATAAAACTTATTAAAGTCGAGACGTTTAATTTAATTTCAATGAAACTGTTTCTAATTTGTTATATTGCTAAATAATAAAGGTGAAATAAAAGTAAAAATGCAATTCAAAATTTAAAAAAAATATACACCCTTGCGCAAATTAATTGAAACAACCGCTTTAGTTTCCTTACACCATAGGTCAGTTTTAGACCAACTAGAGTGACAGGGTGTAATTGGTTTCTAGTTTTCCTCAGATTAGGTCATTTGCAGTGGCGTGCAGTAACATGAATCTATTTTCGGGGTGTATGATGTAATTTGTTTGGCCTTGAAAAATATTGCGTCTTCCGTGATGGCATCAGATTTTTTTCACGCCCAGACACTTTTAATTCAGCTGTCGATTAATTGTCCCACGGCCATTGTCTGTGAAGGACGTTACTCCAAGGAAGCGTACGGAAATTGTAACGCTGCACGAGCACACTGGCAAGCCTTGCCAGTAAGCAAACGAAAGTATTATAGACTGGCCAGGAAACTCTCCTGATTTAGATCCAATCGAAAATCTATGGTCAATCTGCAAGGAACGACTTCGTGGAATGGACATACGAAGTACTAACATATGCACTGGGTCAGGATTCATTGGAGAAATACGAAAAAAGAGAAAATAATAACGGAATTATTCGTTTTGTTTCAATTAATTTCCACAAGGGTGTATATTTTTACAGTTTATGGAGAAGGCTCTGTGAATAAACCAACGTGTCAAAAGTGGTTTGCGATTTATTCGCTTTAGCGATTCTTGCTTCATATTTGGCATTACCCCGGACAGAACCAAACATATTACTGTTTACAGTTGAACAGATGTCCTCATCTTCGTTATTACTATCTCATTATTTTCGATCGTTGTACTCTCCGAACGTCCTCAGGTGTCTGTCGATCGCATATCCCTTCACGGTATTTCGAACTGAACCCGTTATTTAATCTGAGTGAATAGAGAGTTTTCGTTCCGTTGTCTATGTCTACCATTATTTCGTTTTCTACTTTTAGTACCATTCCCTTATTTCAAGACCCTTTTCCATTGAATGTGATACTGAACTACCCGGGCGTGAGATCGAACCTCATGTCATGAAATTCAAGAACTAAGGCTGATTTCGCCTTAAATGAAAATTTAATTTCAAAATTTCCTGGAAGTTACCCTGATCAACAGAACTCGGAACGCACCACGGTCCAAACGTTGTGATAATAACAACAAAGATTAAGATATTAGTCCGACATTCAAGAATGTAAAAAATAAGCCAAACTTATTAAGATACACATTTTTTCCCTATTGTTCCCTATTCCATTTCTAGGATAGTTTCGTCTTTGAGACGTCACAGGTTTATTTCAAATAAATTGGAGTTTCGGGTTCAAATAACAGCAGAGGATGATACGTTCGTTATTTGCAGTCATAACTGAAATCTATTACGAAGCTAAACTATTCGTTGGTATGTATGTATGTATCTATCTCAGCTTTTTTCATTATCTATCTATCTATCTATCTATCTATCTATCTATCTCAGTCTTTTCATTATCTATCTCAGTCTTTTCATTATCTATGCCTTTTCATTATCTATCTATCTATCTATCTATCTATCTATCTCAGTCTTTTCATTATCTATCTATCTATCTATCTAGAACGAGGAGTGCTGATGGGCTCTTAATACTGTGTAACTCTCCTATCTGCACTGGGTGATCGATACAAAATTTGGCAGTAATTCACAGAACATGGGTTGACATGTTGAAGAATGAACCAGCCAATCAAACAGCAGCGATGTAATCAGTCATGACTCTCTCCCGGGTAGTGATCCTTTGAACGTAAGTTTTCAACCAAGAGCGCTGCAAATTGTCGAGATCAACTGAAAAGCGATAATTGCTTGTACGTATCACGCCACAAAACTATCTATCTATCTATCTATCTATCTATCTATCTATCTATCTATCTATCTATCTATCTATCTATCTCATTCTGTTCTTATCTATCTATCTATCTATCTATCTATCTATCTATCTATCTATCTCCTTCTGTTCTTATCTATCTATCTATCTATTTATCTATATCTATATATATATATATATATATATATATATATATATATATATATATATATATATATATATATGTCTTTACCGTCTATTTCTCTCTATTTATTTAGCTATTTCTATCGGTATTGTTGTATCCATCTCTCTCTCTCTCTCTCTCTCTCTCTGTCTATATTAGCTATCTCTCTTTCTATGTTAGTGTTATATTGGAACATACCTATTCTATTGTTAACAGACTCTCCCACCTATAATAGGTAGTAGTAGTAGCAGTCACCAGTGAGCTCAGTGAGTTGGGGAGTCAGTCGATGTCGGACATTAAAGTATCAACCACCACAACTAGATTGCTGCGTCATTAACTATTATTTCAAGTTCCTAACGTTTTGTACGTCGAACCTTTTTAGGACCGACTTAGTACGAATACAAGCCTCTACTGTGAAAATACTCTCTAACAGTTAGTTTATATCTATCTTACACATTCTGTCTCTGTATACCTTTATCTATCTATGAATCACATTTCAAGCCTGACCCCACTAAACTTAAGATAGAACGTATACCAGTATTTATCCACTCATTGCAAAGTCCGTCAGCTGATGAGGAAATTAATAAAGGCATTAAAGAATTAGGAAATGATGAAGCTGAACTTTTGAAAATAGCTTACTTGCCGAATTCAATAACAAGTTTCTTTATTTTATGAAAGAAGTCTTGAACAGAATGCAGTGGTGGAATCAGCAATGCCTTATAGAATCAGAAAGGTACCCCTGAAGATCCTCACGCAAACAGAGGTACCTCAGTTGGATCCATCATAGTGAAAGTATTAATGAACATTATATTAATCTGGATGTCATCGTTTTATGAAAGTGTTGTGGTAGGATCCACCTAATTTACATAGTGGAGTACCGACCATATAAATATGGTTGGTACCGGGAAGAGAGGGAGGAATCAAGAGATTCAACCAGAGACTCTGCCCGACTGCGACTCAGTCAACACATTCTCCAGGAACGGTCTTACCAGGAATATACAAAAGACTATATGTAAATACTGTGTACACTTTTCTTGTTTCAATACATTTTGTTCTAAGTACATTTTGTGTTGCATTATTATTCCATGCATTAGTCAAGTTTCAACAGAAAGACAAAATCTCCTAGAGAAGGTAGCGAAGGAGAGCGACAAGAAGGGACTAAGCATAAATTACAAGACAGAATGTATAGTCCTCAGTAAAAGGGTCAGGGACACCAATATTCATTCTTTTACTTTTCGTATGTGCCGGGTCCTTTCATAATGTAGGCTATAATGGCTCCCCGCGGTTTCATATCTCATGCTGCCTTAGTAGCATTTATCAATTTAACAAAACCACCTGCCCCTGTTCACAAAAGTTCGTCAGCTTGCTGGCCCACTGTCTTTCCCTATCTATCTATCTATCTATCTATCTATCTATCTATTCTCTCTCTCTCTCTCTCTCTCTCTCTCTATATATATATATATATATATATATATATATTATATATATATATATATATATATATATATATATAGAGAGAGAAAGGAGAGAGAAAGAGAGAGAGAAAGAGAGAGCGTTAGATAGATAGATAGATAGATAGATAGATAGGGAAAGGCAATTTTTATTATATGGGAAGGGATTTGCCAGAGGACACTAAGTGCGACACTGAGATCCGTAGACGTACCGGGATGGCCATGGACGCATTCCAAAAGCTGGGCAGAGTATTGCAAGACAGGAGGATTTCTTTGCTAACAAAGAAACGAATAATGACATTATTAATTATGTGACATCTGTCTTTCTTTACGGTAGAGAATGTTGGACGATTTCCTCAAAGATGAAGAAGAGACTCGAGACAACAGAGATGTGGTTCTACAGAAGGATGCTAAGGATATCCTGGACCGAACGTGTGAGCAGCGATGAGATCTGAGAGAGAATGCAAACAAGGAGGAGGCTCATACTTAACATCAGGAGGAGGCAGCTGAAGTTTCTGGGACACATAATGAGGAAGGAGGGCCTGGAGAATCTGATACTCACGGGTCGAATAGAGGGAAAGAGAGACAAGGAAAAACAACGCGTGACATACCTGGCGGACCTAAGCAAGTGGATGACAGAACGTTGTCTGGGGGAGGAAGCAGAGGGAAGGAACTTGACAGCCGAAAGGCATAGAGGGAGCTGGAGAGCCATGATCGCCTACGTCCTGAAAGGACATGTCACATAAAAAGAAAGAAATACGGTCTATGAAATGCACTTCTTTTCATCCCTAAAATTGTATCAGTTTACGATGAGGTCTTAGAGAGGATGCAAAGAAGGAGGAGGCTTATACTTAACATCAGGGAGAGGCAGCTGAAGTTTCTGGGACACATAATGAGGAAGAAGGGTCTGGAAAACCTGATACTCACGTGTTGAATAGAGGGAAAGAGAGACAAGGGAATAACAACGCATGACGTACCTAGCGGATTTGAGCAAGTGGATAACGGAACATGGTCTGTAGGAGATGACAAAGGGAAGAGCTGAAAGGGGTAGATGTGGAGAACCATGATCGCATACGTCCTGAAAGGACAAGTCACATAAAAAGAAAGAAAGGGGTTCACATAATAGCATATATGCAGTGGTGAGATCTTACCGGTTCGCGCGACTTTCGATTCTTTCTTATAAAACTTTAGCGAACCGGTTGTTGGATTATCCGAAAATAATCTTATATATTAATAGCCGATATATAATAGCTAGAAATATAATTCAGTACCATTGTTGTAAGTTATGCGGAGGCTGAAATAGGGTTTTCTGTGATGAAGATAATTTATTCTGATAAAAGTAATCATCATTTGCAACGATTCAGTTCGAATATATCGATCTACAGAATCTCATTGAAACATTTCGAACCTCAGCAGGAGCACGACAAGGAGGAAATGACAGCACCAGTATTTAATCTCTTCCTAGACAATGCCTTGGGTATTTATATGATATTGATACTGGCCATTTAAGTACTTCATACTACATCCACAAGGAATCGACCTATAGAAGTCAACGATCCTGCTTTCCTTCCCGAGACCAATGTACAGGTGATGAGATAAGTATGCTGATGACATAGGTATCCATAGTTTGGATAAGAATGATCTTGAACAGAAAATCGACATCTTCTATCAAGTGTTCCAAGAAGCAAGACTCAAGATAAACCTTTCCAAAACAGAAACTATGATCTGGAATTGGAAAGCAATGATGGCACCTACATTGAATCTATCATAAAAATTCAGCATGTGGAATTAGTACATACTAACCATTTCAAATACCTTAGTATATAAATCAGTTTGAAGAAATTTCGTATAAGAAATAAGGAAATTAACTATAGAATAGGCTGCACTAAAGGAGAAAATGAGAGCCCTAGTATATTTAATCTTTTACTATACTATACTCAATGCCTTTACAAATACAGTTGTGATGAGATGAGCACTGACCATTTCCTACAATATCCCAAATGAATCTACCAGTAGAAGACAATTATCCTGCTTTCCCTCCAAGGGGTGCTATGCTGATGACATAGGTATTCATAGTTTGGATAAGAATGATCTTGAACAGAAAATCAACATCCTCTATCAAGTGTTCCAAGAAGCAGGACTCAAGATAAACCTTTCCAAAACAGAAACTATGATCTGGAATTGGAAAGCAGTGATGGCACCTTCACTCAATCTGTTGTGGGACTCTCCCCTTTTTACATAAGACAGGTTTAGAGATACGGAGACAGGCACAGGGTGTTCTCAGAGAGTCATACAAGAGCCCAGAGAGAGAGAGAGAGAGAGAGGGAGAGAGAGAGAGAGATGATTACGGCTTTACTTACGGAGACTTGTACATATACTTTCTACTAACCCGCATTCCTGAACTACTAATCTTCACTTCAAGTCTGTATTCTTACTTATTTCTCTTTCTCTTTCTTTCTCTTTCTTTCTTTCTTTTTTCACTTTTTCTTCTTTCTTTCTTTCTTTCTTTTTTCTTTCTTTCTTTTTTATTGCACTTTCTTTTTTTTGTCCTTTCTTTCTTCTTTCTTTTTTCTTTTTTCTTTCGTTATTCTTTTCTTTTTTCTTTATTGCTTTATCTTTCTTTTTTCTTTGTCCTTTCTTTATTCTTTTTCTTTCTTTTTTCTTTCTTTTACCTTTTTCCTTCTTTCTTTCTTTTTCTTTCTTTCTTTTTTCTTTCTTTTACCTTTTCCTTCTTTCTTTTTTCTTTCTTTTTTCTTTCTTTCTTTTTTCTTTCTTTTTTCTTTCTTTCTTTTCTTTCTTCTTTCTTTCTTTTTCTTTATTACTTCACTTATTTTTCTATCTCAATTACTGGCGTTGTTTATTTATTTGTGCAGGATTCCATCCTCGGAATCCACAACACAGTCAATCATAACGGTTCAGGATATGAAATTAATAACTACCAAACACATCAGATTCTTCAACGTATGGACCATCTATGACAAATTGGGTATAGAACAAAAGGAAATTGAACATAGAATGTATGTATGCAAAAGATAGTTTCACCCAACACTGTAAATTGCTACAAAACGAAACCCTCGACTTGAAAACTCGAGTCATGTTCTTAGATACCCTGGTTAGATTGGGACTTTCATATGGATGCCATGCATGGCGCCAAACCCGTTCAGAAATATCTAAACTGTCAGTTGTATACGTGGGCTTCCAAAGATCAATGTGAAAGAAAACTTTGAGGGTCTTAGCCAATAATATCTTTTTTTTAAACACTGTGGATTGGCGATACGGAATCATAAACAAAGAACTGTACCAAATAACAGAAAGCACATCACTCGAGGACTACCAACAGCGGCAACAGGTAAAATGGAGAGCACATGTAACTCGAAACGAAAATAATGACATAATTAAGATGTTGATATTTCACACTACTTCAAATAAAAGTTTAGGATGGATCCCGTCATCAATATTGGAAGGAGCGAAGAGTAATTGAACTTGAAAAGCCTATTTTCGCGAAAAATTGTTTTAAGAGAAAGATTTTGTGAATTTCAACCGAAGTCAATACTGTCTGTTCGGCCAATGAATGCCAAATGTTTCCTTATAGGGAAAAGGATAATATTACCAATATAATTATCCTTTCACATTTAAATATGTTTGTATTTCAGTCCTTTTCTTTCTTTCTTTCTTTCTTTTTTCTTTATCGCTTTTTCTTTCTTTCTTTTCCCTTTGTACTTTCTTTCTTCTTTATCTTTCTTTTTTCTTTTTCTTTTTCCTTCTTTCTTTCTTTCTTTCTTTCTCAGTCTATTCATATCTGACTATCTCTTTTCACATCCATTTCCCACTGTATGTCTCTCAAGCTCTTCCTTTCTCTCTATGCATCATCTATTTTTTTTAACTCTTTTCTCTCCCTCTCTCTTTGTTTATATCTATCTCACTGTTTCTCTCTTTATAAACATCTATCGCGTCTATGTCTCTTTATATCTCAGTCTCTTTCCTAGTTTTTGCTTTCTTCTTTTCTTTCTTTCTTTCTTTCGTTGTTTATTGCTTTTTCTTTGTCCTTTCTTCTTTTTATTTCTTTTTTCTTTCTTCCTTTCTTTCTTTCTTCCTTTTTTCCCTTTTTCTTCTTACTTTCTTTCTTTTTTGTTTGTTTCTTTTTTATTGCACTTTCTTTTTTGTCCTTTCTTTTTTTCTATCTCTTTCTTTTTTCTTTCGTTATTCTTTTCTTTTTTCTTTATTGCTTTATCTTTCTTTTTTCTTTGTCCTTTCTTTATTCTTTTTCTTTTTTTCTTTCTTTTACCTTTTTCCTTCTTTCTTCCTTTTTCTTTCTTTTACCTTATTCCTACTTTCTTTTTCTTTCTTTTACCTTATTCCTACTTTCTTTCTTTTTCTTTCTTTCTTTCTTTTTCTTTCTTTCTTTCTTTTTTCTTTCTTTTACCTTATACCTACTTTCTTTTTCTTTCTTTTACCATATTCCTACTTTCTTTCTTTTTCTTTCTTTCTTTCTTTTTTCTTTCTTTTACCTTTTCCTTCTTTCTTTCTTTTTTCTTTCTTTTACCTTATTCCTACTTTCTTTTTCTTTCTTTTACCTTATTCCTACTTTCTTTCTTTTTCTTTCTTTCTTTCTTTTTTCTTTCTTTTACCTTTTCCTTGTTTCTTTCTTTTTCTTTCGTTTACCTTATTCCTACTTTTTTCTTTTTCTTTCTTTCTTTTTTCTTTTACCTTTTCTTTTTTCTTTCTTTCTTTCTTTCTTTTATTCCTACTTTTTTTTTCTTTTTTTTTTATTCCTTTCTTTCTTTTTCTTTCTTTCTTTCTTTTTTCTTTCTTTTACCTTTTTCCTTTTTTCGTTCTTTTTCTTTCTTTCTTTTTTCTTTCTTTTACCTTTTCCTTCTTTCTTTCTTTCTTTCTTTCTTTTTCACATAGTTTATATCTATTTATCTATCTATATCAATTTACTCCTATCTATTACTGGGCGTGATCATTTGGCCGTAAGATTTAGTCCGAAAACACTGACCAAGTATTTCACGCTCAAATTGCTGGGATCAAACACAAGAGCATAATTGCTTCAACGTACCACGCCCACAAAACTATTCGTTCGCGTGTATATTTCTGTCTCATTTAGTTCCCCTCTCCCTCAATCTACCCCCCGCCTCTTTTCCTATCTCTCTATTTGTCTATCTCGGTCTCTTCACATCTCTCAGTAGATGTGATCATTTGGCTGTAAAATTTATTCGACAAACCCTGTCCAAGTGGCGCTCACTCAAATTGCCAGGATCAAACGTAAGAAGATCTTTACTTTAATCTATCACGCCTGCAAAATTGTTTGTTGCTCTCTTCCATCGTTAATGTGGAATTGTAATTTGTTAGGAGACAATGATGCAGAGTGGAAGACGAAATTTCCGGGACTTGGGGGATAGCTTTATGCGGGGAATTTTATAGCTTGATGCGTGTGCGTTCCGCTAAAAATATCTGGTTTATCGCCGAATCGACCCTGGAAGCGTCCCAAAAGCCATCACTGGACACCTTGAGTAAAAGTTCTTGGCATTATGGCCTTTGGGGCCAAAATGATCAACGCACTAAAAGTCAATCCAGAAAGTAAATCAATTTTATGATCTATCATGCATATAATAGCAGAAGCGGTGAGAATAATTAAAAAGAAACATGCACACTGTTGCATCTCTATCTAAAAGGGCAGGATGTGTGTGTGTATGTGTGTGTGTGTGTGTGTGTGTGTGTAATAAATGTACGGCTGCAATTTTCGACGAATTTACACCAAAATTTACATGCACATGCTCCAAGTTAGCGGGAAGGCCAAGACTGACTTTGCATTTCCCAACTCCCATCGATAGTGGAAATAATCGATTTTTTCATACTTCTACGCCAGTTTTCATGTAGTCTGCGGCCATTTTGTACTGGCTAGAGTGAGAGCCTATAGCTGGCTGCCACGAATAGGCAGGAAGATTCTATTGGCCAGCGTGAGAGCCAACAGCTGACTGACACGAATGTTAACTAGCATGCCAAAAAATCGATAGCTGCATTCGTCACAAGTTGGAAAAATTTAAATCTGTATGGCACTTTACTCCAATTGGCTCATTCACTTGCTTAAACTCAACGTTGATTCTGATTCCGCAGAACTGGGTTGGGTGTGAAAAAGTATTTGTTGTTAACATTCTTTTTTCATTCGGTTTTTCCAGTTACGAGTCCTTTTTGAAAGCTGATCGTTTTGTGTTCATTTTGTTTAGTTCTTTTTTCGTAACGGATTTAATGTTTAGTATAGAGCTTTGAAAAAATTTGCAGTGTGAGATAGGCAAGAAGTAAGACATGTAGCAACATCAGCACGGCAAAGGTCACTCCTTTAAAGGCAAGGAAGGGCAAAAATATTTTAAGTTAAGTGATAGCGATTGCTGTATGAGTCGTACGATTTTTGAATCAAGCACGGGCTACGCCGGGTCATGCTGCTAGTAATAGTTAAAATAATAACCAGAAGAAGGAAAAGATGGGAAGTGGCTGACAAAAAAAAAACATTATAGAGTATACGAGAATGGGTAAGAAGGATTATCCATTGGGAATTGTGCAACTGGCAAGGATCATACTCACAAATGGCGTATGCACAAAGCAGAAACATTTATTAAAAGCATTTCACCCACCCCAAGCAAGGCGGGAACGCCACTAGCACGCAACGGGTTACATAGAGTTGAAGCAAGAGTAAAGAGGGGTGATAGAGGAAAGGATGGAGAGAAGGACGGGGAATGAGGTAGACTGACATTGCATTTGAATAATTGAAGATTATAGCTATCAGGGAAGCAAGTAAGAGGAAGGGAGTTCCACAGACAGGAAGTGCGAGATATGAACTATTGGAGTAGAAGAGACGGCTATATTTAACCGTTTCCACAGTGAAAGGGTGGGACTGAGATGCCGACCTAGGGGCACCTTTAAATTCATGCAGTTTGGGAACCAGCGAAAGTAGCTTGTCGGAGTAGTACAAAGTATTTGTAGAAAAGACAGAGATATGTGAAAGCACGTCTGTGAGAGAGCGACTGTAAACGAGATGCCGGATCAGGGCCAGTCATATTGCATATCCGTCTCTGGATTTTGTCGAGGAGATTAAGACAAAGAGCGGGGGCTCCAGACGACACATGTCTGCAGTATTCCATGCAGGGGCGAATGGTTGATTTATAGATTTGAAGGATAGACTTAGGCGGGAAAAAACTTTCTGGCGCGACACAGAAAACCAAATCTCCTTGCGGTGGATGAAGCAATTGATTCAATATATTTGTTCCATCTTAGGTCAGCGGACAGTGTGGGACCAAGCAAGAGCAGAGAGGCGCTATCGTGGAGTTGACCATCAGAGGTGGGGGGTCACTGTGGTGGGTAAAAGCTGTTTTGAGATTTGAATTAGTGAAACGTTAGAATTCAGAAAGATCAACCAATTTCGCCGAGGAAAATCATAAACCTATTAAACAGCTGTTATTGTTCCAGTAGACAAGTTCAGAATGACTACCATGAAACTATTTATAGAAAAGGTACAAGAAAGCTACGTTACGCCAGTGGGAAAGAGACTGAAGCCGAAATGCCAGGTCAGGATCAATAACATTGCAGATTATTGATTTCTCAGGAATCTCTTTACATGCACATGCTCCAAGTTAGCGGGAAGACCAAGACTGACTTTGCATTTCCCAACTCCCATCGATAATGGAAATAATCGATTTTTTTCTGCTTCTACGGCAGTTTTTATGTATTTTGCGGCCATTATGTACTGGCCAGAGTGAGAGCCTATAGCTGGCTGCCACGAATAAGCAGGAAGATTCTATTAGCCAGCACGGCAAAGGTCACTCATGTGGCACAATTCCAAATATAGCAGAAAACCGGATCAGATATGGCAATAATAATCAAAGCAAAGATGAATGGCACACTTATAAATATGTAAGATAGGTTGTCTAACACGACACAGTGAACACGTTTTCTTAGCTGTAGACTTAGCAATTGATTCAATGGACATTTTTCATATACTCTTGTGTAGGAGATGCTGAAAAAATCCTTTCAGATAAAACTTATTTACTTTACGCACAGCCTAATATTTAGATAAATCTAACTTACATTTGTTTATGCACCCTTCCTTGTAAACGGTAGTTAACGTCCAAACTCCATAATATATTCCTAAAGGCGAATTTAAACAAACGTCGCTTGCGAAATAATAATAAAAAAAAACAATAACAACAAACATATAAAAAGTGAACCATGAAAGTGTCACTTAGAACTTTCGTTTTAGGAACTACCTGCAGCTCTTCATAAGAACCTCGTCATAATGCCGAAAGAATTGGTAATCTAAGAAAACCAAAAATATTCTGATGACAACGGCATTATCCTGATTAATGACACGATAACTTGGTAAGGAACGAGAACACGGTACATCTAAATCACAGAGGATTTTCTCGTGATTTTTTTAATATATAATGATTAGCCTCATGTCATGATCTGTCCACGGGTGGTAGTACCTGTTAGGGTCCCAGCTATAGGAAAATAGGGAACCCCTGATCAAAAACAAAACATTATGAAAGTATAAAAATACATTTTTATATAAAACTAATTACTAACAATACATATATATATTAAAATTACTAATAATACATTTTTAAAGCAAAATGACCTAGAATACATTTTCAGCAGATATAGTAGAAATACTAACAATACATTTTATAGCAAAATGACTAATAATGCATTTTATAGTAGATATAGCAGAATTACTGTTATGGTCCAGGTTAGGACCAAGGAAGAACAATACAAACACAAGAGTAGAAATAACGAAGGTATATTACACGAAATAATGGTGTTAGTATGACTGTCAGTCTGGTTTGGAGTGAACTACTATCGGCTCGACTCGATTTGATATTTACTTCCTCCTCACGAGGGAAAGATGTGGCACAAGGCCGAGTTTTACGTGGGTTTCCCTAGCCCGTAGGCTCGGCCAAAAAATGCCCGTAGAAACTGTAAAAACAGAATCGGCTGGGTCAACCTGCCCGAACGAGGCTCTACCCTTCGGCGGAGCCTCGTCCGGGTTCCTTTCTGCACAGAGGCAGAGAGTTCGACCGTCAAGCCGAAACGGCTCGACTCTCTTCAGTATCTAGCCACCCTCCCACGAGGGTTGCATGTGGCACAAGGCCGAGTTTAACGTGGGTTTCCCGAGCACGTAGGCTCGGCCAAAAAATGCCCGTAGAAACTGTAAAAACAGAATCGGGTTGGTCAACCTCCCCGAATGAGACTCTTTATAGTAGACATAGTAGAAATACTAACAATACATTTTAAAGAAAATGACCAATAATACATTTTATAGTAGATATAATACAATTACCAACAATACATTTTATTACAAAATCACTTACAACACATTTTATAATAGATATGTCAGAATTACCAACAATACATTTCATAGCAAAATGTCTAACGATATATTTGTAGATACAGGCATACATTTATGTTCAAAATATATTTAATTGAAGCCATTAAATTGTGTTTAAAATATTTAAAATTTCAGCATTAAATATGTCGATATACCGCTAAACAAAATGTATGAAACTTCTGTTTTATACTTTCGCAACGAAATATACATCTGCCGAGGATTTATAGTAATGTCCGCTTCCAATGTATTTGTAAATGTTACGAGGTCGATTTACATTCAATGTGGAATACTAGTGGCCTTGTGCCAAACACTTATGCTTAGTAAGTGGCTACTCATTGCTAAAGGCGTGATATTTTTCATTTACCCCTATAGTAAAAAGAAGCTGAGTTCTTTTAAAATATTTTTTTTCAGAAGATGCTCAAAGATGTGTAATTCACTTGTAGACGGTGTAGAGTGTTGCTTCGGGAAATACGTGATATTTAAGATTAAAAATTTTGGGGTACATAAGTAAAAATAATGATATAGATAACAAGAAAGAAAGAAAAAATGTTTGAAAAAGAAAGAAAGAAAGAAAGATAATGTTTGAAAAAGAAAGAAAGAAAAAAGAGATAATGTTTGAAAAAGAAAGAAAGAAAGAAAGAGATAATGTTTAAAAAAGAAAGAAAGAAAGAGAAAGAAAGAAAGAGATAATGTTTGAAAAAGAAAGAAAGAAAGAGATAATGTTTGAAAAAGAAAGAAAGAAAACATAATGTTTGAAAAAGAAAGAAAGACAGAAAGAAAGAAAGGGATAATGTTTTGAGAAAAGAAAGAAAGAAAGAAAGAAAATG